GGTTTTACATTATACCTGAAATACCCATTTTATTTTGTCACCTTAACTGCATAGGTGAAAATATTATTCTGTTTAAATTTCAGTATCAATACTATTGAGGCGATTATGAATGAGATTGTGTCCGCTGAACATTTTGAAGTTACTTTTATTTTTCAAAACTCAAAACCTAAACTGTTAATTAATTATCTACTTTTCACTTAACTGCACGCAAAACGATCATGCACGCAAAACGTACATGCACGCAAAACGTACATGCACGCAAAACGATCCAGTCCACTTAGAAAGTCTTTAACGAAGGCAACCCTGCTCTTAGGCAGTAAACACTCATGTTCTTTGTCATACAAAAATAACCTAAGCTAACCTCTAATATGAAGCTCTATAAATAGCCAAAGCATTTTGAAGGTGGCTCATTATACAGAACTCTCTTTCAGGAACTAGAAGAGGATGTATGCTGCAAAGTTCAGGCAAACCTGAGAGTTTGCTCATTCCCATAGGAATTCGTACTTCAAAACACTGGATGTACTAAACAAATCTTGGTGGCTGGCGTAAAACTTTTATGAGCCATTTCAGTATATGACATTTTGAGTTATTTTCATTTATCTTCTAGTTACATTCTTACTTTAACTAAATTTTTGGTAGCAGTAATTAGGACAGGGTATGTATAATTTGATAAGTTTAAATAATAAATAAAATTACGAATGAATATAAAAAAGTAAATAATATGTTTTAGCATATCAGTCATAATAAGCTGCTTCAGTTCCCTTTTATCATTCAATCAAATTATGGTTTGGTTTCCTTTATTTAATTATGGCAAAGCACACTAGGCTATCTGCCTAAGGGGAGGGATGCCTTCGTGGAGGACTTTCTAAGGGAAACTGGCTCGTATATACGTTACATATGGGGAAAACCACGAAAACGCTCATGCAGCCAGTCCTATCGCGGGATTCGAAAGTCGGACCGAACTACCAGCGTTCAGAGACTTTACCATTCGGCCGCTGGTGGACCAATGAAATTTTGAAACAGAAAAAATTGCTAAAAGCTAAATTCTGTTATCTGAAGAAACACATAAAGCACTAAAAATAAATTTATATAATCAAATTAAATAGTTAACATGAAACGGAGCTAAAGGGAAATACAAAGTTGAAAAGTCCTAACTAAAAGTCTAATTAAAATGAATAAATAAATAAATAAAAAGAAAAATAAATTAATAATGAGCTTTTTTTCGTTCCATTTTAAATATTTACAGAGCTAGTATTTACATTTTCGTTCAGGAAATAAAATAAAGTTCGGTATAGATTTTTTAGATAAACTGACAAAACAAAACAACTAAAAAAAAAGAGATCAGAAATGAGAGTTTTGTAAATCAAGCTGCATAATGTAATCAGAAGAATGCTAGAAAGTTTTCTTTGCGATTAGTAAAAAAGTTTCTAAAACATTAATTTCCCATAATATATTTCATAGCATTCAGCATTAGCGCCATCTGTTGACACTAAATGAAACGAAACACTGATTCAAACATTAAGTCGGCATTTTAAAGGATGTTAAGATTCGAATTTAATCTTCAAAATTAGTTTTTAGCTCAGATTTGATTTGAAAAGACTTATTTTAAGAGGTCACATAAATGTCTTCTTGAAATATACCGAATGTTTTCGATTAAATATAAGTCATTTTAAAGTTTAAAACTTAACAAAAAATCTTTACAAAATTTTTAAAGAGCGTAGTTTTGCTTTTAAGGCAACTTCAAAATATTTCTTGTCTGACTTTTACCACATCTCACTAAGAATTCTGCGCATAAATATAAGTCAATTTTTAATTTTAGTTCAGCATTTGGGGAAATAGGGTGAAATAATATTTCTGCTATTTTATCCAGTTACCTAATTATTTCTAGTTAATGTGGAGATGAAAGAAATAATGTGTATGAACAAAATAAAGTGGACAATTTAATAATAAATTATTAATATAAAGTATGTTCCAAAAATAGATTTTTATGGAAAGGAAATATTCTTCATTTCAGAACTTTCTACTAACTTTGGTTAACAATAGTTATAACTGTTAACTCATGCTTTACCTGCAATGCTTATCTCCGTATCTGGAATGGCAATTTTTGATCTTAACACAGGATTATTCTTCATGTATTATTTTCTACCATTTTTCAATGATCTTGTGATTTATCTGTTAGAGTTTTGTAATATTTGTAGGCATTCTCGGCTGACTTTTCAATGTCTTAAGTTATTTTCAGAACTTAGCTACATAATTAATAATTATAATGTTTACTAGACATCATTATGATTCGGCTGCACGCTTCGCAATACTTGCAAAACTTATTCAAAATCAAAATTTTATACTCTGTCTAAAAGTGGTATTAAAGCTGTATTAAAATATATCTTTTAATTCGCAAAAAGGCACAGAAAAGAGACTTCAAAGATGTATTAGGTAACTTTAAATCTATAAAAACTTGTCTCCATCATTCACATACGGTTGTATGTATATGCATGACATAAAATTCTGCGTCATGCCCATAAAAAAGCAGTTTGAAGAATCAAAAATACTAAACTCTCCAAAACTAACGAATTGAATTATGTTCTGTTCTTTTATCACATAGTACAAATTTGTTTTTCGTAAATTTTAAATTAATATGTCATTTTTTCAAATTAATCATTTCTACCAAAGTCAATTTACATTTTTTAATGCAAATTTTAGATTTTGAAAGAGGAAAGGTTTATCAAAAGAATTATTGAAACAGCATCATCACATGCATCTCATATAAAAAAAAAGAATTTCTCCAAAATACCTTAATTTGTCACAAACTGTACGTAATATTAATTTAATCTCTAATGTATAGTTTCAGGCAAGAAATATTTCAAAATAGCATATTATTTATTTAAGGGAATTTTAGTTACTTCCTTTAAGACGAAAATAAATTTGTCTCTCAGATTTTTACTTTTCTGTTTCTAGCATTATTCTAACATATTACAATTGAAAAATATTTAAATTTTCTCACAAGTGTTTAAGTTTTGAAAAGTATATTTTGTTTAACAAAAAGTTGAGAAGTGGTTTTGTTGCGTTAAGAATTACATTAAATATAAACGTGCATTTTCAAAACAATGAGATATTATTTGCGATTGGACTTATTAAAAGAATAAGTCATTATCAAAATATTAAATAATATTTGATATTCTTCTTTAATACACATATGACATGCAATATTAATACCCTTTTGAAGAATGACAGAATAATCGTATACCATGATTGAAACAATATAAAACTACATAAGGTTGAAATAATGAATAATTTGCATTGAGACTGAAAATAAGTACTTAAACTTCAGTTTCTTTATTATGATGAATGTAATTATACAGAGTGTCCTATATGAAATGGAAACTCGTAAAAATGTGATAAAAATCTTATAACATGAGAAAATGAAACCAAATTTTTACATGACATACGCTTATGTTTGAGAAATGAAAGTGCATCACAAAGAGGTGTTGAAAATGGTCTTCCTCCGGCTGTACACAGTTCAACACGACACTGCATGGTCGCGTGTATTGTTACCAGAGTATTGTGCATCCCTCCCTGGATTTTACAGCAGATGTTCTGAACTCGTTGAAGGTACATGTTTTGTGCTTGTATGCATTACATTTAAGCCGACCTTTTAGAAAAAATCAAGGAGATTAAGTCTGGAAAAATGATTCCACCACAGTCATTCTCGCTCTACACGTGTGGCATAATGCACCATCTTGCTGGTATCAGCCTTCTACTCCTCATCATCCAATTGATTCACAAATTCATAAAACAGTGCCTAGTACCCTTCAATGGCGACATTGCTATAAAAACAAAGGACCCCGATGATGCGCCGCTGTGATAATGCACAAAACACGCCCATCTTCTGTTAATGGACGGGTTCCTCGACAACTGCATGCTGGATGTCGCATAAAGGTGTTTTATTAGTTCACGTATGCTGACGTGTGGCACCAGCTTTACTACATATACTCTGACAAGAATATACACGAAAATGCAGCGCCGTGTTGAACTGAGTATACAGGTGAGAGGATATCACTTCCAGTGCCTCTTGTAATGTGCTTTCATTTCTCAAACATAAAGGCATGTTATATAAAAATTTAGTTTCATTTCCTCTTGTTATAAGACTTTTATCACACTTTTCCAGAGCCGCTTTTCAGTGGGATACCCCGTATCTGCGCCTTTATTTGAACGTGCCAATGTTTAAACTAAGGAGTTTTGAGATTTGCACACTCGTACGAAAATTATGAACTACATCAGGGAAAAGGATATCAGCCATTCATCTACTACATTTACTTTAGACGCATTCTTAACAGAAAAATAAGATACGTACTTAAAATAATAATAAAAATGTATTATTGTAATGTAATTGCTAGTGTAATGGTCATTAAAGTGAAAAGTAGCTATATGCTTTTTTGAAGGAATAAAAAATTCTTCAAACTTTAGCCACGTTTCAAAATTTTGTCGGAAGTCAAACAGCTTTTACTCGAAGCTTCAAACTGAGCATTGGAATTTTTCTTACCAGTGCACAGATCCACATATCTTTCATTTCAAAATATGTCAAATACATTTTGAGCACGTTTAGCAGCTTTTCAGTAGATAATGCCATAAGTGTAAAGGAAAATGCTAGAAATTTCATATTAAAAATAATTTCTATTACAGTTCCTATATTAGTTCTTCTCAAATACCTTTATATATTTGGGTTCTGCAAAAATTAGCATAGATTTTTTTCCTTTTAAAGCCATCTAACGTAAAAGCCATCTAAACATCTTTAGAAGGGTTTATCAAGTTTTACGTATCTATGTTCTTATAAATTTTCAGTGCATTAAAATAATATATTCTTGTCGCTCGGATAACCATTTTGGCTTTAATAAAACATTTTAAAATGTCTTTCATTTTTAAATAATGCAAGACACACAGGAAAAAGACAGAAAAAAGAGAGGAGAAAACTGAATTTTTTTCTCTTATGTTTTATTTCCTCGTTACAAACAATTAGATTATTCTAATCCAAAACAAAAGAAATTGAAGTAAAAATATTGAAAATATATATAAACATAACAATGTAAACAATTTCTCTTTTTCTACGTTTATTAATGATTTTAGAAGTCTAAGAAAAGTTTTTAACAAGAAATGTTAGGTTTACTTACTTGCACAACAAAAGTAAAATAAATTATTGTTAATTCATATTATACTGCATAAGAAACTATACATGAAAAATTATGCTATATCTTACGAACACAATGTATATTATAATTAAAACAGAAACAAATATCAGGGTCTAAAAACGTAACGTAAATAGAACTAGGAACTATTATACAAAAGTGAAAAATAATCTTAACTTTTAAGATAATGCAATAACTTTAAGTTTTGCACTGTATAACAGAAGATCAATTTATGCTAAGAGATAGCCTTGGTAAAAAAAATATGTAATACAAATAAACTGAATCCTGTCTTAGTTATTACCTTTTTAAGATGGCCATCTGTGCAAATATTTAGTATTTCTCAGAACATAGACAAATACTGGCTCACATCTCTAAGACGACCCCCTTCACAGAAGTTCAAAATCATATAGAACGGCTGATCTACCAAGATCATCCTAGATCCTAGGCGATTGACACCTTATGCATTTAAAGTATTTAGAAGCTTTTAATAAATTTAAATTCTTAAAAACGTGAATTTCTCATATCCATTCAAGGAGTTATTAGACGGTAATGCAGTTGTATCTTATTTCTTTGTTAGGAAAAATATATATACATATAAACTTCAAGTACAAGATTTTTAGTATACTTATAAGTCGGAAATATTACATATATACGTACATGTACGTATATGTTGCTTCAATGTTTATCAACAAACTCATAGAAGATATTATATTACACATGAATTAGAAAATTATTATAATACACAGAGAACATATTACATTACACATGAATTTTAAAATTTTGTTATGAGAAATGTGTATCTTTTCAATATGGAAAACTCAGTCAATAGCTTAAATGATGCATTTTAGGTTTATATATGGTTCAAGAATTCTGAACCTTATTATTCATGAAGTTCATTTTCTTAAGAAGATGCAATAGGGAAAATGTTGCATACAAAAAGATACAATAATCAGATTTCACAACGATTCATCTTGTATTTTGAATGAGGCGCGATATTAGTCAAATGTCTGGTATTATGATGTCTGCGAAGCACCTTCTCGGCATAGCCTTGGTATAAGTCACAATGAGATATACGAACATCTTTTATAATTAGGACATCGACGTAAAGTTTTCTGTAGACAAATTACACGTAAACACATAACGTTGAAGTCTCGAAAAACCAGTTGAGGATAGGGCAATGAGGATCCTTAGTCTATGAAAGACGATATATCCTCAGTCCTTGGATGACTCATGATATAAAATATGATTCCAGTATTAAGAATAATCCAACTCACCTGAAAACAAGAAGAAAAATTATTTGCGTTTCTAATTAAAAAGTAATTTATATGTGTTACAAACTACAACGGTTAAATCGACAATTCTGTTTTTAAAAGTTCATAAAAGAGCATAAGTGTAAAACATTTTCACGTACAAGAAAATGACTGAAAAACTAGAAGGTTTTACCTTATTTGGAATAATAAAACACAGCCAATATATTTTTGAAAATATTGATTTAATTGAAGTGATTTATAATTGTGTATTATAAAATTCTCAGTTTTTATCATTTTTAATTTTAATCCTTTAATAATATTTTATTACACCTTAATTATTTGAAAATATTAGACAGTATTAAAGAAAGGACATTTTTTATTAATTCATTTATTTATTAGTCCAAAGGGGCAATTTGCTCTGAAGGACTATTAATTTCGTTTTGGCATTTTGCGTCGAAACTTTTAAAAGGCTGTATCACTTTTCAAATAGTTGCCACCATTAATTATCGCCTTGTCTTATATTTAAAGAAACTAAATAATGAAGAATCTGCATAAATGTATCTAAGTTTCTCGCACTGTGATAAAACAACGGTACCTAGAGCCGTCAAAATTTGAATAATGTAATCTTTCATAGAATATGGGCATGTGGAAGCCCTAATTTGAATTTGAAATTTCCTTTATTATCGATTTCAGATTTTGTAACACTTCAACGAATTTTTGATTAAAAAACCTAAACGATTTCAAAGCGAGCAGTGGCAACACTATACGAAAAAAAAAAGTTTTTTTTTTATCTCCAGCGCGCGAGATTCTGTATCGAAACTTCTAAAGATATGCTCCTTTAAAATTAATTTGCGATATTGCTGTTGAATTGAATTTTATAGTTAGAGTACGTAGAACACGATATTTAATAAATAAAGATAATACACAAAAAGTTTAAAAAACACCCCTTTGGACGTCATTTAAAATCTGAAACCTTTCAGATTTTTTGTCTTTTTTGTAATTTTTTTAGCCTGAAAAAAATGTACCTGAAATCTTTCGATGTTATTGTAAGTATCTGAATAAAATAATTGCTGTCAAAAATTTTATCCTTTCACTGTATCTTCGAAAATGATTAAAAAGAAATTTTACATTTGACATGATTTGTGCCTCATATTCTCCGACTTTCAGTATGGTTAAGGAAGTTACTTCAATCAAGAATTTTTTATGCAATGATAATAATAAAAATATATTAAAAGTTTCTTTTCTGCTTTTTTTGCTGTTGTTTCATCCCGAAATCTGAATTTAAATTTGGCAAGCCAGAATGCGAGATTAATGGCTCAGAAACGTTTATCCAGCACAAAAATTGTTTTCTGTGTTCCATACTGTATAAAATAAAATGTGAAAAAAATCTTTTTTAATTGCATACCTTTCTCTAAATGCACTAAAAGTAACAATGTTTCTTAGTTATTACAGCACTTTTAATCATTTGCTATTAATAATAAGCGCGTGGGGTGCAAATAAATGAAGGCATTATGTTTGAGCATTAGTGGAGCTTTACAGAACGACTGTAATAATAGCATGGATGTGATGCACTTAAAAACGACTGTGCTTTCATTTCCTCCGAATTTCTTTGAAAATTTGTGTTAAAATCTGTCATTGCCAGTAGAGGCATATTTTCCTGATTTTATTTTTAGGGACGTTTGACCAAGAATGCTATGATAGCTAAAACAGTAAGCCTTACTTTTCAATACATTTAACTAAAAGCATGTAATATAACGAATTTTTTAATATTTTTATTTCATATTTATTAGTTACTCTGGTGGCATGGTAGTAGGCTGACTGTAATAGCCTTGAACACAGGTTCGAATGCGGAGAAGGCATGGATGTTTTTAAGTGTATAAAGTCTTTACATGCTAAAGACCCTACCGAGACATTTAAAATACCGTACCAAACTTTTTTTTTTAAATCTTTCAATAAGTACGACAATGATATTGTAAAATTATTTAATAATTATTTCTTTATTATTACATTTTTTATTTAATTATCATTCAAATTGTTATTTTCATAAATATTAATTTCTCATGGAAAATTGTCATAACAAGTTGAATTAATTTTGTTCTAACAAGTAAGCTAAGTGTCTTTAGTGCGCAGTGGCTCTAACCTCTAGCCACTCGCTAGACAAAAGACCCCTGATCCGAAAAATTATTTACCGCCAAATAGTGTTTAATAGAGGGTTGAGAACATTATGTTTATAATGTACTTTATCACAGAAAATTGTATTTTAGCTTTGCGCCCGTGAAAGGGTTAAAAACTTAGTTAATAAGTCCCTGATTTATTTCTTCATGCTGTAGGGTGTCTGTTGTAACTGGAAGCTAAAGTCCTGCAGACCCTAAGACGAATAACGAATCCTCGCTACGTCTTAAACAAATATTGAAAAGTCTTAAAATAACCTTTTTATTTTTAACTCCCATTACTTGTCGAAATTTAAAATTAACATAATAGATAATTAAGTTCAAGCGTTGATAAGGACTACGTATTAAATAGACTAAAAAAAAAAGTTGGCTCAGATATTTTACAGGGGCATATTTTAAAGCATCGGCTAGTGAGATGCTAAAGAAGGAATATAACTATTAAACTGAGCTGCCGTGAATACTAAGAGTAAGAAATGGTTGCCAAAAGTTCTGATATAAAGATTTAAAACTCTGAGCTCAAATACACAAAAAATTAATTTGCATTCTGGTGATGCATACGGAAAGAAGAAGTTATAGTATTAACTTAAATCATAACAACTGGCTAATTAACATGTATGGTTTTTTTTAATTTTCTAATAATTAATTTTATTTTTGAATAAGCTGTACTTTACAATTCCTATAATTCCCTGTTATCTGGCCACGTCGCTGCTTTTTGTCTGATCTTACGACTTTTCGGCAGTATTGTTTCGTTCCTGTTAGTATTCGCCGGTGATAACCAATAAGAGCGAACTTATTTAGTTATTTCTTAGTTAGTTATTTATTTCTTTCTTAGTTAGTTAGTTATTAGTTAGTTATTTCTATGCAGCCTCGTCTGGTTTTAGTTAGTTAAGATTAGATTCATTTCTTATTTATTATCTTAAATTAAAGCCCAAGTAGAGGCTTCCTGTCAGCCCGAGAGAGAACATCTGTAAATCATACTAAAAGAGTAATTTAACCCCTTTTTTTTTTTTTTTTTTGGATTGATTTGTCTTTTACGTTGATGAACTTGTAGAGATATTAGGATATTTTTTTTGAAGCAGAGGAAATGAAAAATTAACAACGCCATCGCCGGGAATCGAACCACGGACCTCTGGAATACAGTCACTACACCACGAAGGACGCTAGGAAAGTGGGAGAAATACTTTATATACTCCCCTTTTTAAAGGGCGACTAAGGACCTAGTCGCCAAATCCTGGGTACGGAGATTCATCATCTACAACCCTTTTAAGTTCGGGCGCCACTGTAGAGATATTAGGATATTTGGAAGCCAAAGAGATGAAAAATTAGCAACCGCCTTCGCCGGGAATCGAACCACGGACCTCTGGAATACCGGCCCAGCTTGCTGAACCACTACACCACGAAGGATGCTAGGAAAGGGGGGGGAAATACCTTATAAACTCTGCGAAACTTCGCCACACAGTTCACAAGTAGTCTAGCTTGCAGGGACTACAAATTTAGCTAGAACATTACAAGCATAAGATATCTTACAATGTCATTATATTTTATATGACTTCGTTTAACAAAAATCTAACTCGAATAACGTTCATAACATTCCTTATTATAAAATTACATATATTTCCCCCTTCGTTTGAGGTTCAAGTATTTACAATAAAATATTCGCATTTTTATTAATCCATTTTGTAACCCCACGGCTCAATGAGCGCCACCTAGCGACCGCCGGAAGAAACACCGGCCAAAAAAGACTATAACCTTCAGTCGATGTACGGGAGTCAAGAACTAAGCATGTTGTTCCCCGAGATTTACTTTGTAACTTAAATGTGTAATTAACCACATTAACTTAAATGTGTAACTAAGCATTACAATTAAGGGCGTTAATTCTATAGCGCACTTAATTGTAATCTTTTATCTTAATTGTGTTTTGTTAATTAAAAGACCAAGTGAGTCTTTTGTTTATGGTAGTTTGGTTATAATTTTTAATAAAAATTTAGAAAAACCTCTTATACTACTCAGTTTTAGTTAAATGGACAGAAAAGCCTTTTTTTAGTTATCATAATATTCTTGGTTATAGTTCCTGAAAATAAAATCTTGAGGTAGTTAACAATGAGGATTTTTAATAAAAAATTGTCAGAGAAAATGTTACATGACTTGAAGATAATGTTTGTTATATATGCCATTTTTGTGTTATTATTTAGACTGTTTTTTAAAATTTTATTAACGTCCCGATTCAATTTTTATGCGAGACGCATTATTTTCTTTAGTCACGTATAATGAAGAATGGTGTACGAGTTTAAAATATATTTTTACTTCTTAGTGCAATTAATTAAAACCACACAATTAAGATAGTGGTTTTATAAAGTTTTATTTAATATTTTATGCCCACAGAAAAGGAAACATAATTATCAAAATCAGTACCTCTAAACATAGGAAAATTATCCTAAGTATTCTCCCTAAGAGCAGCAAAGTACACGAGATCCCTTTTATTTCAAGGTTTTCTAATCTAGCTTATGGTTAAAATTACATTTAGTTCATTTAATTTCTCACTGAGGAAATTTGATTAAAAAATCCGCTATTGTAGACATTAAAACTGAAGCAATTCATTGACATATTTTTGAAAAATTGCTAGATTACATTAAAGACTCCAAACAATGGTCATTTGCAATATTATTTTGCAATTAATCCGACGGGTAAAGACTGACATTCTGCGTTGATTAATTTGATCGTTAATCAATGATATGTGTAAAATATTCGTAAAATATCTCTTCGATAACAAATAAAATAATCTGATGTGGACAAGAATTCCCTTGCATGGCCTATTAAATTACTTGTATACGCATTTTTTGCTGCACTTCATTT